CGAAGTTTAGATCAGAAGAGCGGAAGTGATTTCCACAAGAAGAGCAAACAACAACAATCCCAGCTCAAGCGTATATATACAGCATAAAATATCCCTAGCAAACATCACAAAATAGTATATCAAGAGTCGATTAACCAATAACATTTATGGTCCTGTCAAGTGTGAAATAAGACATGGCGGTGAAAATAGGCGCTTTTGGAATGAAAACAAGAAAATTCGACTTTTCATAACAAAATTATGGAAATAAGACATTTTTCGGGTGATTCCTTGGGATCTAGAATACACAAGAAACAACTCGACTGCTTTTCATATTCCATGATGCTAACATTAGAAGAAGCTGGACCTAGGCTTTGTCTAGACCCGCTGGCATTAACGCCAATGTAAAACCGCAACTCTGGTTGGCTTCTTCGTTTTGTACGGATGATCAATGGGTAAGTCACTTTAAAAACCGTCTACATGTCTCTGATGTTAAATGTTCTGTAGCTGTTCAATGTGTTAGTATATTTACGAATTCGTGAACAGGTTTTTAATTAAAATTAAGCTGGTCTTGTAGTTCACTTTATTTCTGTAAATGTACTTTCTTATGTTAGGGAAAATTGAAATGCATTCGAATACAATGTTGCCAGTCTGAGCCTTATCTGTTAGCGAAGATATAATGGAGTAAAATTATATCACGGTACGTAAACATTTATAAACTGATAATCTACAATTCGTTAATCAGTTTCTAACGTTACTCTACATACATGTGTATGTGCACGTCTGCGTGTCTGGAAGTTCTTTGATGTATAGCTCCATGTGACCAGAGTGCTGCATTCCACTGTTTATACACCTCCACTTCACTGGCACCCACTCATTCACCATGTATGTCTTCCGACTCATTTGGAACTACTATTATCATTTTGTTTTCACTTTTTGGTTAAGGCTGCTTTTTATGATGTCTTTTAATTATTGCTGATTGCTCCAAGCCTGTGTTACTTGACATTTTTCCGAATACCAGGATATTTAGTGCCCGTATTTTTGATCGTCTTCACTGGATCGATCGATTTAATTTATCACAAAAAAGGCATTTGTTTTGAACGTCACTTTCTGTTGCGAAGAAATCAGCCATATGCCTCTGATTGTCTTTACATAATTGTGTTCCCACGGTTTCAGTGTTCATCTTTTGAACAGGTCAGACCGATGGGTATAGAATGTTTCTTGTTTACCGAGAAGACCTTTATATTTTGAAAAGTAACTGGTCCACTTTTTAACCCTCTACCTGCTTTATATCTTGTATTTTGATTGTACAATGCCTTTGAAATGCAAAGTTTGTAATCTCTAATCACTGATTGTGAGAGATCAACCTACATATATGAACCAATATACTATCCAGATATCCATGATATTTGTGAAAATTATATTTATTTCCATGTTGAACTAGTATAATAGTTATAACAGCTGTTATGTTTCAACTTGTTGTAAGGTTTTATGTGCATCTCATACTGGTAATAAAAAATATATGTAGAACATGTCAGGATTCTATTAATTCTGATTCCTGACGATATTGGTATTCATGCAGACAAAATCAAGGACAATATGATTATATTCGATCATGCAGACAAATCAGTAGCTGGAGAACAAATAAGCATACAAACAAACGTTAGGATTCTAAGTACAACTATAATTAACAGGATGATTGTTGTCAATGTATTTTTCAAAAAATACGGTTAATTCTACAGGAATATATAGTATTAATGAGTCTAAGATAATCCTCCAATGAGCTCTTGAGAACTTAAAAAGCAATTTCCTACAGGTGTAATTCTAACCTATGCTCTGGACTGTCGAACACAGAGTCTTAGTTTAGCCAAAATCAGAACAAGCAAGCTATTTGGCTTGATAAACTTTATGTTTTTATAACGAAAATAAAACTGTTAGTATGCAAATAATCGATACAGTCTATTAAACAGGCTTAAATAACATGTTGAACAGTAACTAGAGGATAGTAAAAAATGAGTTAACCAAGCGAATAACGCATTATAATGCATATAAAATTGTGACTGCTGAATAAACAAGACAGAGTCATGCAAGGTCGAAGAAAGTTAACTGAATTAACTCCTTTTATGAATCCGGTGTCCATCTTGTTGTGTTCATGAGATATGGCAACTTGGGCCGATGCATATATGTGCCTGGTCCTACGTTGTAGCTGACTGACTGACTGACTGAAGAAAGTTAATGTTGTGATGATAGTTTCGTATTGTCACTGGTGAGTTCGTTTATCGATCACACTTTACAAGTTCCTCTTTTTTGGAGATACTGAAAACTAGGACAGTACTTCTAATCGATAGAGACTTAAAAACAAGAGATATATGCTAAGTGGCGGCTGCGCATGGAATATTACAACCTCGTAGAAACTAATGACGCTTTATTATGAGCCTACACGTAACGGTGTTGCTTGAGAAATAAGGAGTGATCTTCAGAGCTGAATCTAATTTCGGTTAGTTATTTCGGATGGTAAATTAAGTCTGCAGGCGTTCTGAAACTCCGTACGAGAAAAATCTGAAACCTCTTTGCCGTATGTTAGGAGATTAATTCGTACAACCACGCAATTTTCATGTTTTCCTTTTCTTTTTTTCTTCAGGAATGACCATCTCACAGGACATACTATGAATGTTAGAAAACCAGAGTCAACTTGCTTGTGCCTAGAGCTTTGTTTCTCACAAAATATGGTAAAATTGTTTTGATTATAAAAGAACCGAATTACCATGTTATTTCTTGTTTGTTTATCTTTTAGACCACAAGATAGAAAATACAATTTCTAGGTTCTATCTGAAGGCATCAGTGGATTGTTGCTACTCGACTTGGAAGATGAGTACGTGGATTCCTCACACAATGATCCTAAAGCTACCTAGAACACATGGTCGTTAAATCCAGGAGTAATTACTGAGTGCCTTTTTAGTTGGTTTTCTCTCAGTTACACTTCTGAGTTCAAATGAATCAAAAGGCGGTGACGACCAGCTGATTATTTGTAATAGCGTAAAAGACACCCAAACAAGTACAATAGAAATGCCGTCAGAATATATCCAAGTGCAGGAAAATAGTTGTACTTGAATGGTACATCTCTAGAAAGTAACACATAGTTGATAAGACTCAATTATCGCAAGAGGAAAAAGATTTGTATTAGTCATGAGACAATGCCCTACACAAAGGAAAAACACAGGTTAGTTCAACTTGCTCCGGAGACGAGCAGTCAATTATAATGGGTATACAACGAATGCAGTTAATTAATGTTTGCTTCCCCAATACAAACGCGCGTGTTTCGATATCAACAACACAGAACGAGTAACTTGGTAAAGAAGATTAAGGAACAGTATTCTCATACGGTAACTGCCTAAAGGGAATGTTCAATAAAGCTAAAACGACCCAAATGATTCAATGCTCAACAACACTAAATTCATTACGATTCACAATTGACAGTAACAGTTGCAAGCAAACCTAAAAGAGAAACAAATATACAAAATAACGATAACAGTAGGAGCAAGAACACAAGTAACGGCGCAAAAAGGGAATATTCATAAGGAAAAACGCACGTGGAGAGATTTGCTTACGAGAAATATCAGAATGGATTGCACAACAGTACTTGAACTCGTCGCCCATGCGACACCATATCGTATCAATTTTCACTAAATGCTCTCATTCTTTAGAATAAGTCAGTTTTATGTATTTACTTAAATGTTGGTCCAGCATTTTAAATGCTTCTGAATCTTAGAGGAAAGCTGCTGCGAACGTTTAAAACTAGCAAACGACGTAACTCCAAACTAGGCGTAAGTTTGTCAAAAGCTAAACACTTTACTGACATTTTTTAGTCCAGTTAGGATCTCCATGATATCAAATATCCTAGAGATTATTAAAAAGTATTTGGGGTACCTTCTATACCGCTAAAACGCAGGCCTGTAAACTGATACCGACTGGTGAGTGTATCATGAAATATATAATTCACCATGACAGGTTGGGGCTTGTTACACCTCAAAGGCTGATTTTTTGATATACCGCGTATAACAGAGCACTAGAACGCCAAAACCCTTTCAAGTTGCAGTAAGAAGACAGAAGACTAATGAAAGGAATACTATTCCAAACAGTGTCAATTATAGTACAAAATTGTCAGGTAGTTATAGTTTTTAGTAAGAACGAAATCATCATTACAGTCCATCAATCCGCGTACGTGGGGTTATTAGCATTGACCAATCAGGAGGCTACACGTATAATTCTAGAATATTCTTCTGAAAGGTGATTGGATGGAATGTCTTCGGCTCCTTCTGAGCCACCTACACCTTTCTCGAGTTCATGTCAGCAAGCAAATATACGAACTGAGCATGAATCAGAACCAAGTGACAAACATAAAATCGGAAGGGATTTCACGAACCAAACACATTGAATAACGCCGAAAATAGCACTACATGTAAAACAATGTTCTTTGTAAATGTCCCCGCTTCTCCGTTAGAGGACGGATTAATAAATGTCGAATAGTGTGATATGAATTACTAAGGTCAAAAACGGCTAACAGGGATTGGTGAAGAACCATACACTGCAACAGGTGGTCGGCCGAAAGAATTTTGCTGCTCCTTTTGTTTCACATCCAAATGAACGACTTACATGGTAAGAATACAACAGAAGCATCATTACCTAACTCCACGATAAGTGGTCATTTATTAACGACTTAGACGTCAGTTGGGCTGTAACATTATCCCACTTTAACTCCGACAGACTAAACACTTGCAGAAACGAGAAACGGAGAGATTTTCAATGCTTCAGCAAGAACTAAAAACCCCTTATTGGAAACGACAGACTGCTTATTGTTGAGTGCAAGCGTATAAGCGAATACACCACAGTTAAGTACATCTTAATATGAGCCGTTAAAATAATTAAAGCGATGCAATAATGTACTCAGATTATGGAAAGCATTGAGGTTTTATGCTATGATACTTAGAACTGGCTTTGTTTGTTTTGATGTTTATGATGTTAAGTATTTGTAACTGTACGCTACCCATTGGTTTGCGTCGATTCGCGCTCGTTCCATAGTTGGATATTGTCGATCCCATTTATTATTAAATGTGAGTATATATCTGGAACATAGCGTGTTTCTAGGCTAGACATAGCGAGTATATAATTTAAGGACAAACTAATTAGATTCACGATAAGAGGTCTTGGATTTCGGCGCGAAATTCTTTAAGCATTTGGCTAAATATCGTCTTGGCATTTTAACTCATGTCATTTCGTAATGAAAACCGTCAATCTAGTCTTTGTCATTAACCGTCAACTTTAAATCACAATCATTATCTTTCACACTGGTGTAAATGCCTAATTTAGTCCTAGTCGTTAGGTGGACATTCTCAAGGCCACTTTTGCGTCGCTCAAAGGTCGTTCATAAATTAGTTTCACCGGTTTTCTCCTTTTTTTTCTTTGAATTTTCGCCATTGTCGTTGCCGAATTTACGAAGGGTCGTCTGCTTTTTATATACATTTACTACCCACTACCTACTTTAAGTTTGCGTTAATGCAGATCGTCTGCTCATCCCAACTTTCTCCAAGTTCATACAATGTTATCTTTTTTCTGTTAATATTTCTCTCGTGCTACTCTCTGTATCTGTCAGTAGACAATCTTTTCTACTCAGTGGACTTAGTTTAGGAATATTATACGTGATCAATGACACTTATATACTGGAAATCAAATTATAGCTTACAAGGATGCAAGGTACCACCTTATCTCCATATTTTGGGGTTTTCCACAAATTCGTGAAAAGTTTGGTAGTTTTCCCCCCAATGTTTCGGGAAATTTCCGGGAACAACCCGAAAGTGTTGTAAGATTCTGGGGAAATATTTGGGGAAACCCAAACATTTTAGGGTTTTCTTGCCATTTCCTCAGAGTTTTCTATTGCAGCTTTCCCTAAATTTACCCAAAAACGGACAAATTTTCCCCTAAAATAGAGAGACTGAGTAGGTGCCTGCTACACCTAGTTGTAAGTACCGAGACCAGTAATTTTTTTTCCTAATTTTAAATATGTCATACATACTTACTACATGTCTAATTGTCCCAATGTATCACATGTAAGTGAAATAGACATATACATAATTGATTGTTTGTTAGAAAATTATGATTGCAATATAATTAATTTCAAAGTCAGTATCACCCAATTGGTACATTAACGTTATTCGGACGCATAGTAACCGTCCTCTGAGTTCTGAATTTTGGTAACAATCACGGTTGTAGAGTTCCAAGCCTTATATTAATGTCACACTTCAATATATCTTTATTTCTAACAACTGATAAAGTCAAACCGTACAGTGAAGTTTGTTAACACAACGCTACACCTAGAGGGTAGCAGTAGGTTGTCATTTCAAATTACAACTTACACTACCTTTCCTTCTTCAATGACGCTTTTGAAGTTTATCTCTCATTTCGCGCCATAACGGCTTTACGATCAAGAATAAAAAAAGCCCGCTTTGTTTCGTATGCCGCCGTAAAGCCTGCAGTTCTGAAGGGCTGTTCTAGCCTTAGTGCCAAGTAATATAAAGTCGCTAACTACCTCTGGTTTCATAAGTGGATTTAGCGCATGGAAGTCATGCGGTTATTATCTGGCAATCACAATACCATCGCCCTCCCAATCTCTCAACTTTGGGAAAGTTTAGGGGTATTTTGGGGGAACCCACAAAGTCAAATGACCTTCACCAAGGTTAAAGGGGGGAATATTGGGGAAATTATTCAGGTCTGGGGAAATTTTGGGGTTTTATTGTCGTTTCCCCAAAGTTTGCTATAGCGGCTTCCCCGAAATTGGAGGCTCGGGCCTTTGTAATGTTAGATAATGATAAAAATATTAGTGAACCTACAAATTTGTTCCTCGTGCTTTTCTGAAGACATGGATTCATGGTCCTCACTTCTGGTTGAGGAAGGAAAATATTAACGTAATAATCCAACACTGAATCTCTATGGATTATTACGTGCATCAGACTTAGACCGTTACACTCAAGCCTAATATTGCTGGTGCCATGTTATGCAAACCACTGTGTAGTTTCACAATTTCGGAACTAATTTAAATTGCAAATATTACTAAGCCGCGATCCTGCTGTCAACAGTTGCTGACGCGTAAGTTGAAGGCTACTTTCGTTGAACTTAAACATTGACAGATATGACGTTCCAACTTGGCATTCAGTGGTATTTGTGTGTCCGACGACCTGACACTCGGTTACTGGACGCAACTGTTTCCAGCCTGCATTTCAGCAATATCACTATCAACGAAATTATGCAGGTACTCTTGTTTCCGTTTCTGTCTCTGCAAAACATTAACAGGATTATTGTAGCCGGAGAATTTTCTGAACGATATCGTTAAGTTATTGGCGGTCTGTACGCCACAGTAGTGAATAACCTCAGTCTTAGTGATCGACCACTCGTCATATAGTTGAGCACCGTTCTTCATGTCCATATCCATCAAGTTAGCAGGATACATGGATAGTTCGTCACTGACAAGCCACTTGATTGCCATAGTAACCACCTATTTTTTGACAGTTGCAGACTAGTCTTAGGCCTATAAATACTCGAAATTCGCTTTCTAGTTCAAATTAATAACGTGTGGGTAAGCAAGATGAAAATTTATTAATGTAAATATGGAAAAGTCACCTAGGTCAATGAAAAATCTATATTCTAGTGATCCGTTGTCATCTTTATCATTAAGTAGTCGGGGTTTATTGGGGACCTGTTTTTGTATAGAAACAGTTATTCTAGTGTATATAAGCGGAGATTTTTCAGCCTCTTCTTCATTGATAAAGATGTTTCAGATTGATTTGGGAGTCTCTAGACTAAACCTAACCTCCATATGTCTAAGGCTTCCATAATGTTAAATTTTGTTTTCCGCCGTTTTTATTAGTATAATGTAACAGTAACAAATGTCAGTATAATTATTTTATTTTCCAGTGTAATCATGGAATCCTTAAAAATGAATAATGGTCGTTCAGTTCCAGTCATTGGTCTCGGAACATGGAATGTTCGCAAGAAAAAGTTTTAATATTATACACTTTGTAGAGTCCACCAGGTGAAGTTGGAGTGGCCGTGAAGAAAGCTCTAGAAGTCGGTTATCGACATGTGGACTGTGCTCATGTCTACAGAAATGAAGCAGAAATAGGTGAAGCACTGGAAGATGCATTAAAGAGTCTAAAATTAAACAGAGACGATGTTTTTGTTACTTCAAAGGCAATTATTCATTTAATGTTTATCTAAATTATTTCTAGCTGTGGAATACTTTCTTCCGCCCTGAGCATGTCAGGAAAGCCTGCGAAGAAACTTTGAAGAATTTGCGTCTTAAATATCTTGATTTGTACTTAATTCACTGGCCTGTTCCATTCCAAGTAAAGTTTGTGCAATTTCTTGACCTTATTTTATAGTATGGTGAATCTCTTTTTCCCACTGATTCGAACGGAAATTTCTGTTTAGATGAAGTACCACATGAAGAAACTTGGAAGGTTTGTTGGTACTAAAAATTCATGAGTTTTATTTTGTTTCACTGGGAAGCGTAACGCTAACTGCATAATCACAGTGTTAGTATTAGTGTATGTTCGTTTTTTGCTGTGGGCTGTCGAATTTCCTTTTTGTAGTGTTTGAATTGTATACTGATTCACGTAGTCTCTATATTTTAGTAACTTTGGTGGAGTGCTTTAACGTGAACTCAATTTCTGAAAAGAAGAGTCTCACGATGTTCCCTATTCCTCACTCAGGGGGCAGGCCGTACCAGGGCATTAGGGGGCAAAAAGCCGGCGACACCCGGTATTCCCAGCCGGTCACCCATGCAAGTACTGCCCCCTAATGCCCTAGTACAGCCGAGAGTGGGGAGAGTCCGCTCTCCCTCTCGAAATACTCTCACGCGTATACAGCCTCTGCCAGGGAAGTCCTACTCATTGCCTTCTCGTGGCGGGGGTGTTGTTCACGAAAATGAGAGGACGAAAAGCGAATGTCCGGCGCTTTAACTGGATCACAAACCAATGGTGCACATGGGCTCCAGTATCCTGCGGGAACAAATGGCGTATGAACCAATCGTTGGTCACCGGCTACCATGGGATTGCATCTCCTTACGATGCTCCACTGCCTTGTGAGTTAGACCTTTAGGTCAAAGGCTCGGGGAGTGGCCCCTTAAGATAACCACCTGCTTCGGTTTGGGCACCCGGGCAGTATCACAGCCCACACACAATCGATGAACTCTATGTCTATGGCAACTACTTTTCTCGCTCCGAAAAACAATCAATTGATTCAAACTATTATCATTACAATTATTGTCATTATTAATACTATTATTATTATTACTATTATTGTCATTATTATTATTATTATTATTATTATTATTATTATTATTATTATTATTATTATTATTTTCCACATTATTCACCCTCTTTTATACTTATACAGCGGCTCGTCTTTGGTGGAAATTCGACTGTATCTAAACGTTCTCGAGTCACTGTCCGGTTGAAAATTGTATGTTACCACCGAATACGAGAACTGAAGCAGTTTTTCTGAAACCACGTGCACCATTCAAATTGGCTGCCTTCAACGTTCGCACATTTATGCAGGTCGGACAACAGATAGGGCTGGCTATGTCTTTGGAAAGTCTTAATATTGATGTTTGTTGTCTATCCGAGACCCGTATTCAAGACTCTGGAGAAGTACTACAAATTCGATCTCCATCTGTCGCTTCGAAAAGCTTGTTTTACGTGCGCTTATCCGGGGACCCTGTGGCATCTTCGTCTGGTCTTGCTGGCGTTGGTGTCGCACTAAGCGCTAGAGCTGAGGCAACACTAGTCGATTGGATCCCTACTAACAGTCGGTTATGTGCTGTTAGATTAGAAAGTTCCATCAAAGTGAGAAGAAATTGGCGTGAGAAACGATGTCTTTTCGTCATCTCCGCCTATGCTCCGACAGATCGCAGCCCGGATGCAATCAAGGATGAGTTTTACCACCAGTTATCTGTTCTTCTCCAGAAAGTGCGTTCGACAGATATTGTAGTACTAGCCGGAGACTTGAATGCTCAGGTCGGGCGTCTAGGCACAGAAGAGAGTCGTTTAGGTGGCCGATGGGGACTCGTTGGTCGCAGGTCAGATAACGGGGACCGTCTACTGGAACTGTGCACAGACCACAACCTGTTTCTGGCTAGCACTAACTTTCGGCACAGTCATCGCCGATGTGCCACCTGGCATCCTCCCTCCGCATCTCAAGCCTGGACTCAGATTGATCACATCGCGATCAGCTACCGCTGGCGTGGTTGTGTACAAGACTGCCGCTCCTTTTGGAGTACCTATCTGGACTCTGACCATGCCTTGGTCTGCGCCAATCTTGCCTTACTTTTCAGTGGCCAACGAAGTGACCACCACCAAAAGATTGATGTTAGCAAGCTGGTTGCGACTTCTGTTGCAAGTAAGTATCGAACCGAGCTAGCCTCTAGGCTAGCTACCACTCCACGGAAAAGTATAGATGAGCATTGGTTGCAATTGCATGACGCCATGAAAATGGCGGGAACAGTCAGTTGTGGGTTTGCGAAACGTCCCGCTTTTAAGCACTGGGTTTCTTCTGGTTCCTTACAACTCATTGAAGCCCGTCGGTCTACTCCGGGTGACCGTGAGTTTGACCACAAACGAAGGTTGTTACGTAGTGAAATTGGGCAAAGCTTGCGTAAGGACCGAGAAGCCTGGTGGTCGAAGCGTGCTAATGAGCTGGAAGCAGCAGCTGCATCTGGTAACTACCGGAAGCTCTTCCAGCTCATCCGAGCCACTGGCAGCAAGAAGTCTGGTGTGAGTGAAACAATCTGCGAGGATGATGGGATGCCAATCACTAACATCCATCGACGTCTTGGACGATGGGCAGAATTTTTCGAAGGGCAGTTCAACTGGCCTGCTGCTCCGGCAACATCGGTCAGACTGTCCTGCCCTCCATGGCCGGTGACGACTGGTCCACCAAACGAGGAGGAAGTCCGCAAGGAACTCCAACTCTTGAAGCGTTACAAATCACCGGGCCCAGATGACTTACCTCCGGCTCTTTTTAAAGATGGTGGTGACTTTCCGGCTAAGGAACTGACGACGTTGTTTACAAAGGTCTGGGAGTTAGAGAGTGTACCAACGTTATGGAATAAGTTGATAGTTGTCCCTATCTTTAAAAAGGGTTCACGTCGTTCTTGTAACAACTATCGGGGGATAAGTTTACTTCCGATTGAGTCCAAGCTATTGGCTTCCGTCATTCTTCGTAGGTTGTTCAAAACCCGAGAAAGATTGACTCGCGAGGGGCAGGCTGGGTTTCGTTCTGGTCGAGGATGTATTGATCATATCTTCACCCTTCGCCAAATGTTAGAACACCACCATCCTTATCAAAAGCCAACAATCGTAGTGTTTCTTGACATCAGGGCTGCCTTCGATTCGTTGGACAGGGCTGTTCTCTGGGATTGTCTATTGAAGAAGGGTGTGCCTGAGAAGTTTATTAACATCCTAAAAGCCCTATATACAAACATTTCAGGCAGAGTGAGGGCATACAACCACCTCTCTCCGTTGTTCCATTCGAGCAGTGGGGTTAGGCAGGGTTGCCCAATCTCACCATTCCTCTTCAACTTTGCCATCGATGACATTCTGGAAACAGCTCTGATGAATGTAAGTGGATCTGTTGCCTGGAGAAAGACTTCTTGACCTTGAGTATGCGGACGATATTGTCTTACTGTGCGATAATGCCCAAGGCATGCAATCCGCACTTAATCAGGTGGCAACCAGTGTCCGGAGGTATGGTATGTGCTTTGCACCTTCGAAGTGCAAAGTACTTCTACAAGACTGGCAGGATTCTAATCCTGTACTCACCCTGGATGGTGAGCAGATAGACGTAGTCGAGAAGTTCGTGTATCTGGGTAGCTGCATAAGTGCTGGTGGGGGTGTGAGTGATGAGATCAATGCACGAATAGTGAAAGCCAGAGCGGCTTATGCCAATCTGGGCCACCTTTGGCGCCTTCGTGATGTTAGTCTGGCTGTAAAAGGCCGGATCTACAACGCGTCGGTGAGAGCAGTTTTGCTCTATGTTTGTGAAACCTGGCCTCTCCGAGTTGAGGACGTTAGACGACTCTCTGTGTTCGATCATCGCTGTCTCCGAAGGATTGCTGACATCCAGTGGCAACACCATGTTAGTAATGCAGAGGTTCGGCATCGTGTGTTCGGGCACAGAGATGATAATTCAATTGGTGTCACCATCTTGAAACACCGACTTCGGTGGCTTGGGTATGTTCTCCGAATGTCGTCCCAGAGAATTATTTGCCGACTCTGGGACTGGTTGGAAGAAGCGGAGAGGTGGTCAGTGCATGACATGGTGTCGTGGCATGAAAGAAAGCTGCAAAGGACTGGCTTGTGTTGGTCCTTCACGACTCCCTGGTTGGGGTCTGAGAGATGGTGCTACACAGTGGCTAGAGACGTTATCAGATATGGCTCAAAATAGAAGCCAGTGGCGATCCTGCTGTAACCTTTTACTTTCTTCATAAAAAGTGGTAGTGTCTCCCTTACCTGAAAGATTTCTTCTGATTGTACCTTTTCGTTCCCTCGTTACTACCACACTACCTTACTCCAATCTCTTCGTCATTGTTCTCTTTTTCTTTTGCGCTCCTTAGTTTTTTTTTCTACTTCTCTTCGAATTTTCATTGTTTTGGATGGCGCATATATATTGGCGCTCTCTTGTATCAATATTCATGTGTTCAAATAAATAAATAAATAAATAAATATTTGTTCCAGTGCTTAGGACATGTTATTCTTATTCCGTTCTTTTTGGTATACTGTATTTGTGGTACTTTGCGTACTGAATTGGGTGTTTATTCATCTTTAGTTCATGTGTAATTCGTATCAATTGCTGCTAATTTGCACTACTTACGTAATATGTTTGTATTAATACTTGCGAACATACTTTGTTGCGCTATGCT